CATTTGAGAACCTCCAACGCTTTTTGAAAAAGGTTTTCATTTTACTTCCAATGTATTTCCTCTGCCTATGTGTACAACACTTCACTTATCTAAAATAGCGTACTCACATTTTATCACATCTTATGTATTTTGTTTGCCAGCTGCCTGTCACCAAGTTCGACCAACTCAACCCCAAGACATTTTAAACAAAGAAAAACAAGTACACAATCCTCTGATCATTTCTCAAACAAGTAAGTCTGCTGTTCCATTATGTTTCTGCTTATGACATACATTTTCCATTATTATTAGTAGCATATATAACACCTAACTTATCTTAAGTTGCATATCTACATTTTACCTACACCCTTTAAACATCTTATTTATCTTATTTACTAGCTACCTACGACGAAATTTGTTTCGTTCAATCTCTGGACAATTTGGACAAAAGAAAACAAGTATGCAGCCCACTCCCTATCTTCGAAACGGGTAAGCCTGCTCTTTGCCTTACATTTTCCAGTATGACATATTGGTCGTCACATTATTGTAAATTGTTACTTTTTGCACATAAGGGTGCACGTCGGGTGCGTCTACTCAGCATTTTCCAACCTTAAATATAGTCCCATCCAAAGGTTTGCGCTGACTCGATGCTCCTCCGTCTGATGATTTCAGGCAATGCCTTTTCCAGATTTCTTGTGATGTGCCCTTAATCTATTCAGCTTTACTTCGTTAATAAACTTATTCTTCCTGCTTCGGATATAAATCAATTCATTTAGCTTTCATAACTTTCCCCACTTTTCGTACCTTTCCCCAGTTTGCGTACCTTACTGTTGCTTAATATTATGTCACTCTTCGTTACTTGGAAAAGTTGGCCCATTTGCCTTCTTATCTACATCTAGAAGCCTGAACTCTAACCCATCACTTTACTCTCTCTCTCTTCTATTCGAAATAACCTCTTATTGCTGGAATATTCCTGGGGCAAAAACGTTTTGAATTGTGCCATTTAGCAGCACGTGTGTTCATAGTTTAATTTCCTCATTTTGGTGTTTATTAACTAACAGGATGCGATTTCAGAACCATTTGTGCCTCTAACTTAAGAGAAACATGATGAGGTTTCTTGTGCTTTATCTAAATCCAATCGGTATGATTTGTACACTTTTTTTTATACGAGGTTCAGTTTGCGATCTCTTTATATGTTGTATCTGTTTAATTTTGTGCAGAACAAAGGTTTTGGTAACCCAAAAGGTCCAATATTGATATTACTGGAGAAATATTGCAATATTTGACATCTGGGGCATGGTTAAACTATGAGCTGATACTTTATGTTCAGTTCCCTATTCAGGAGTAAGAGAGTTTAAGATTTAGTGAAGCTGAATATGGAAAAGAAGAAAAAATAAAATGATTTTTTTTTTGTAGATTATGAATGTGTATCTTGAACAGCTAAAAGAGAGAGAGAGAGAGAGAAGGGAACCCAGGAGGTTCTTCAAATGTCATTTCTTTAACACATTCTTTTACAAGAAGGTCAGTTCGTTGACTTCCAGCTCAAAATTTAAGTTCTACAACTATTGTCAGCTGATATAGAGGCTTGGTCTATAATAGTTATCTGAAAGTGAAAGTGTGGCCTACTGATTTATGTCTGTTGTTAATGTAATTCATCAATAACAATAGCCAGTATAATCATTTACCTGATACAACACCACACACAAGGAGGCAGAAGAGTTATAATTTAGTGCTAAATAGAGAAGAAGAGATATGAGTGTCTCTTCTGTTGATGAAAGAGCAAGATGCTAAAATAGAGAGAAAGATTTTCTTTCTTTATAACACACAGTGCACTGACTCATCTACCACTCTTCAAGTGCCTATGGTTGGATGCCACAAAATAGGGGAAATACACACATGCCCATATGGATTTGTTCAATGATATTGAACGAGTGGAATGAGGGAAAGCGACTCGATTGACAAAAAAGAAGAGTAGCCTTCCTACAACCTTGATTAATTAGATACTTTTATTGGAAATACAATAGCTCCAACAACAGAGAACAAGTTAACAGAAAGTGAATATGTAACTCTTGATTGTACTTAATTCTTGCGTCCACTTAATTTATTAGTTAAGAGTAGGTATGTGGATAAAGGATTCAAAATTTGAAGTTTATAAATGGTTGTACCTATCTCAACTTAAGTTGAAAGTATTTTAAGCTTTGAGTGATCCTTAAAATATCATACAACAAGAATCATTTTTCTGCTGAACAACTGAATGAAAGTCTCTTCACCAGAAAAGTAATTTGTTGATCGACTACTCCTCATGTTTATAGGATAACCGAAGCTGATAGGCTCCTAATATTTTACCACTCTACATTAACAATGTGGATTAAGATGTGTTCTTACTTCTTCATCAATGACCTTGAAAATCATGGGCACTTATTTCAGGACAAACGTCTCTGTAAGCTATTCAAGTTAGGAAGTATCTTCAAATTTTTTCCAGAAAACATGTTTCAGCTGCGTCAAAAACATCCATTCTCAAATTTGCAACAACAATTTCTTCTCTTTGACTCGAGTCGCGTTAGTGATGTACTTTTATAAATGCATATGGACTGATACTAAAGTTTCTTTTCCCAATTCTTTACTTGCAAAGGTTATGTTAGAATTTCTTGGATGTATTGGTTTAAAAAGATTTTATATCACCAAGCTGCTCTTTTTTATGTGCTTAGCTGACTTCTTTTGAATGTAACTCTTTTCAAATTTTAAATATATTCTTATGTAGAATTAGGCTGCTTATTGGACGGATAATTTCACTTAATAGTTTGGCCTATCGGATATCGGTTTTCAAATTTACCAACCCATTAGCCATCTTCAAAAGCTTTGGTATCTTTCTAAGCATTGTTTCCATTTAAAATAAAGACCTTCTACTTGAAGAGAAGGACAATGCTAACATGTCATCTAATAGTTGTATTATATGCAGGAGCGATTGAAGAGCTTACACAATATATTGTTGATATTCTGTATTCATTGGCATAGCAAATGCCCTGATAATGGTAACCTTAATGTTTTATGAGCTTAGTTTAATATCAAGTCTTGAAATTTTATCTTAGCAATTTGTCCTGTTACAGCTTTCCATTGAACTTGTAAAGAACACAGATGAAAAGTTTAAGCTTTAGTTGTTATTTCTGTGCCATGCAATTTATATGTAGATATAATTATCTCCTTATACTTACTTTCACTTTAAAACATGCATTGTGATCATAAATTCTACAATTACAATTTTCATGTGCGCCTCTTTCCGATGTGATTTAATAGGCTGCGCTTGTGTGTACAGATCATTGAGCTTTATGGATGCAGTTCGTACAAATGGATCTGCCAAGCATACCCTTTTACATGCTAAGTTACCCTGTTTGAAGATACTCAATGTCGAGGTTCTTAAATAAATATCTTGCCAGCTTCCACACTTTTTTAATCTCATCCGACTGCCTGACGTAAGATACACCCCTATCCTTCTCGCTCACTCCATTAATATCTTAATCGAACAATCTAACGTTAACCCAATGACGCACATGTGTTTAATTTTTGCAGAAAGCAAAAACAGAGCAAAATAACCTCCATACATTCAACAGAAGTATCAACACCAACTTTACATTTCTTGTTGTATTGGAAGAAACATTGCTATTCCTTAAATTATAGTCTTCATCATATTTGGCCCGGCTTTCCCCCATCTAGTATATATAAATATATAGCTTAAAATTTTAAATTTATTGGACCTTGTATATGGTTCAATATGCGGTCCATATGTCTAATATTCGGACCTTTTGTCGACTTCATCTCAACTCGGCTTTTCTGACTTTGTTTTTTCAATTCTTCTCAACTCCAATTGTTTATACGTTTAGATATTGACTCACATGTGCATGCACAATATCTATCATGGTTGATATGATGATTGTCACTGGTGATTGGTGGTGGTTGTAGTAATAGTGGTGGTGATGGTGATAATTGTAAATAGTCACAAGTGATTGTGATTATTGATTGTGTGATCGATAGTTGTAGTTGCGATTGAGGATGGCGGTTGTGGGTGATGACAATTAACAATGGTGAATGATAACACTTGGCGTTGAAATTTCACTTTTACAGAAATTCTTGAATGGACAACATTTTAATGATATTAAGACTTTGTTATAAATTATAACAATTTGAAACCATTTAAATGGTTATGAGAAAGAAAAAAAAAGGTACTTTATAACTAAGATATGAATAATTTAGTTTGAGGCCTAACAATATAAATACACTTAGGGATTGTTGGGTAGAGTGTATTAGAAAAAATAATGCATGTATTAGCCTTGTGTATTATTAGTACCTTTTTTGGTACTCTTTTCCAAACTAACATATGTATAACTAATGTTTGCATTAGTTATATATGGCTCTATTGTGTATTAAAGTGTGCATTGTTAATTCCATGAATTTCTAGGTATTAGCAATGCAATGGTTTTAATGTCTGCATTAACATGATAAAAGACACAATTGCCTCTCAAATCATTTTACATCTTTTCCACCATAATAGTGTGGAGCATATCTTTGTAAATAATTTATTTTATGCAATGCATGCTATTTTTAATGCGTCAAACCAAACAATGCATTAAAATAATCTATATATAATTAATGCAAACATTGCTAATAGAAGCATTATTAATACAGTCTATTTAGTATTATTCTTATACAGTCTACCAAACGATCCCTTATATTTTTTATTTTTCAAATTTGGGTGTAAAGAAAGGAAAAATAGAGAATGGAATATAAAATTGAGATATAAATAAGTGGAAATAAATGAGGCATTAATTATGGTTAAATAAGCTATGTTTTGACTTGTTATACGGGATTTTTAGCAGTGCTTGTTACCATAGCAAAATTCGCATCTTAGATTTCAACTTATTCCCCCCGCATGCAATGTGGTAACTCTGATCTCATCTGCAAAATTTTAATTTTGATTCAACTTGTTACCCCAAAAGCCAAAATCATATAATTGATTGATCAAATTTGAGATGCACGGGCACGCACGGTCAGGGTCAAATGCGGGACGTCGTCCGCAAAATGCAAAGGCAGCGGCACAGAGGCTGGCACAGGTAATGGCGTGTCAACAAGCGGATGATGATGATGAGGAAGATGAGCTGTATGAGTATAACCCTGTGGCTCCTTCAACTGCTATTGGGCTTGCTGGTGGAAGGCCCAATAGAAGAAGTACTCCGCTGGTAACAATCTTGTACATGCTTTATTTCTTTGACAAATTAAAGTAGCATCAGTTTTTGTTTGTTTGTTTTGTATTAGGCAGTTCGTACATCCATAGAACCACCACAGGCATCAACTACACGTCCAGCAATCCGACCCTCTACATCAACTGAGTCTTTGGATCAGCAGCCCTTGCAAAAGGTGAGTATTGTTATTTCATGTATTCAGGTTAGTAAAAACAGAAAGAAACAGAAAAGATGGTTTACTTGTTCTCTTTCAGACAGTTCGTACATCATTAGAGGCAAATGCATCAATTACACGTCCATCATCAATTCGGACAACGGTAGAACCAGCTACACGTCCAGTAGGAATCCGTCCATCTTCATCTTCAGAGTCATTGGACCAGCAGCCTTTGTCAGCTCACTCAACCACGCCTATTAGAACTTCTCAGCAACAACAATATTCTAATTCTGGGAGTAAGCTGACATTTCAATCTAAAAACACTTTGGAACAACCACCATCTGCTCGCGCACCTACTACACCTTTGGCTGGCAATCAAGTTTTGTCCTCTCAATCAAGTTATGTCCCGGAACAGCCTCTATCTGCTCGTTCTCTTGCAGCTAATCGCTCCGGTCAATTTGGAGGAAAGCCAATTCTTTCTAGTGTGCCTCTATCACTCAGGCCAGTTGCAACTGAGGCTCAACCTGAAGCTCGTAAAGATAAAAGGTAATCTTAATTAATTATATTCTGAATTTGTCATTTCTTTTATTTATTGGGTGATTGAGCAGGTTATCAGTTGATTTTGGTACTTTCAAGTATAAGGAGCCTCCCATTCAGCCATCTTCTTCTGCTCTACAGGATGAGGTTAGTCCATTACCATGCATAACTAAAAATCATGCAAATTAATTAACACAATAGGATATTGTTTAACTACAATAATATAATATTGATGCATGTGGATGAGATGTAATTCAAAATGCAGGTTGACATGCTTCAAGAAGAGAATGAAAGTTTACTGGAAAAGGTATCAACAACTTCCTTCTGATATATAGAATTAGTTTGTCATTTCAATTCATCACGTTCACGGGATGTGGATCAGCTTCGACTTGCAGAAGAGCGTTGCGAAGAAGCTGAGGCAAGGGCTAGACAGCTTGAACAGCAGGTTCATTTTTTTTCTCCTTTGCTTTCAGAAATCTATGTTATACAAGTTGAGGACATTACTTAATTCCACTGCTGGCCAACTCAGAATTTTATACGAGGTGTTCAGTTAAAAGTTATAAGTAAAGAGTTCGGAAAAATACAACTTATTGGTAACCGGAGCTCAAAATGAAGTCATTATGCCTACCATTTTTTGTCTTGCTTTTTAGGTTGCTAGTCTTGGGGAAGGTGTGTCAATGGAGGCTCGTCTTATAAGCAGGTAAATGCCAGATCATGAATTAGTAACTGCTTCCAATTTTCAAAAAAAATAAAATACCAATTCTCTCTGGAAGAGGGGTACATGTCAAGTATCGTCTTGGGATCATGTCTTCTTAGGACTATTCTGGATGTACAATTCAATTCATAGTACAAACAAACAATATTTTCTTCATTCTAAATTTTCATATTGTTTTTATATTTTTTTCTTTATACAGGAAAGAAGCAGCTCTACAACAAAGAGAGGTATGTATCATATATAGACACTTCGATGCATTCTTCCTTATTTTACTTATAACTTCATTGAGTTACTCTCTCAGTCACACAATAAATATCACTTAAGCTTCAAAAAAAAGTTGTTCCAAAATAAGTGCTAACTTAAAAATTCAAGACATGTTATAAAACTAAAGCAAAATAAGACAAGAAATTAGAAGATGAAAGTAATAGAAATAGGGAGACAAGAGATGAGAGTTTTTCTTATTATTCCAAGTCTTCAAGTGTATACAATATGAACCCTTATGCCTCTATTTATAGTGTAACATAGAGGCATACAAAAGGTTAGTCATAAACATGACATTAACATGAATATAATGGGGAGGTTATGGAAGTGAAATGTTACAAGAATAATGGTTATAAAGGTGGAGGTTATGGTTATCTTCATAATGGAGGAAAGTATGGAGAAACTTCTTGATGTAGTGGACATCCACAATATATTATTTTATAACACTCCCCCTTGGATGTCCATATATAATATGCCTCGTTAAAACCTTAATAGGAAAAAATCCTAGTGAAGGAAAAAGAGTACACATATCTTTTAATATGCTTTGAATGTTGCCTCGTTAAAAACCTTATCAGGAATACCCAATTGGGATAAAACCATGGTTAAGGAAAAGAGTACAACACATATTTTTCTCCCCCTGATAAAAACTTTACTTGATATCTCGGAGACGATGCATTGCAATCTTATATCACAACTTCTCAACTATTAATGTTGGCAATCCTTAGTGAATAAGTTTACAAGATATCACTTGAATGGGTCTTTGAACGTCTATATCACCATTTTGTTGAAGATCATGTGTGAAAAATACTTTTGGTGAAATATGCTTTGTCTGACCTCCTTTGATTGTATCCTCCCTTCAATTGAGCTATATATTATTTTCGTAGATGGTGGTTAGAATATCCTTTGCCAAAGGAAAATCACATGTTTTCTGAATATGATAGATCATGATTCCAACCATACACATTCCCGACTTACTTCATAGATCAATATTATTTCTGTATGATTTGAAGAAGTGGTTACCAATGTTTGTTTCTTTGAATGCAAAGATATTGTTGTGCCTCCATATGTAAACAAATAGCTCATTTGCGATCGAGTTTTATGCAGATCAAATAAATATTTTGTATCTACATAATCAAATCATTTCTAACTCAGATATTGATCATTTCAATTTTATACGTTGCTCGTCTTTTCTTCTCAAAAATAAATCACACATCTTCTATGTGTTGAGTCACTTTCTTTGTTAGTTTCTTGGCATAACTTGAATGATAATATGGCAATCCCCTCACATAACTTTTTATATGTATATCAAATAATCTTCTAGCATTTGCATAACTATCAATCTGTAAGTGCACCAATTGCACTAATACATGACATTTTAAATCATTTTCATGAGATCAAAAAGATTCTTTCTTTGTGTTAAGCAATCTCAAAACCATTGGGTACTCAATGGAATTGCTTTAAGGCATTTTAAATCCTTCAAGGATTTTCATATAACTTCATCGTCTAGTTAGACATAATAATCATTATGCATATTCAAGTATTTCATCTATTGCCAGACTGAAACAAGTCTCATTGCATCCACCATTGAAGAATATATCTCCATTTAATAATGTCAAGATTTTTGCGAAACCCTTTATGCCCCGAGGCACAAATCGCACTTTATATCTTACGGTTATACTTTCGCACAATGATTCATTTGTACCCCACTGACATATATTTTGATCCATGAACTATAAGTTCAAAAACATCACTTTTCTAAGTGAAATAAAATATACTTGAATAGTGCATTTTATTTGGCCAATCATTTATCTGTCCACATTATATGATAGATTTGAATTTAAGATCCTCGTACCACTTATAGCATTGAGTGCTACTTCATATCAAAGATACCGTCGACGGTCATTTGACTCGATTCCAATACGACATAACTTATCGAGATCTCTTCATTTTTCATCATTTTCAGGTACCTGAACCTTTGTCAAGGTTTTATGAAGTGTTATGTCATAGTGCTCTTTCAAAGCACTTACCTCATTATCATGACCATTTTGATAATTTGCTCATCTCCTTCCTCAAGGAGATTTACGTTTGAAATCGATTGGTCTATCACGCTTCTGGCGTACTATAGACTCTATCCTTCAAGGACTATTTATTGGAGCATTTGCAACTTAATTAAAATATTGGGTTAGCAAATACATTTGGCAAATTATTTGCAACATTTCGCAAATGAATTATCTCTTGAATTTCAAGTTCACATTTTTTTTAACGAGGATCTAGATAATTACCCCACGCATAATTTCAGCTGCTAAACATATCTCCCCCTAATGTTAGGAAATCTAACATTCACCCCAACCTCATTTGGGGATCCATCTTTGTGCGTGGTGGAGCAATAAAATCATACACACACATAAAATTTTTAGATGAAAATTATTTGGTTCCTGACCCTGAACCAATTGTGATGGAAGAACCTTGTTGGCTTGATGCATACACGTTAAATAAACTCATCTCATACCAAATTTTATTTGAGAGATTTGTTCTCATAATCATTGGTCTAGCTATAATTGGAGGCATACAATTTCTGCTAAACCAACCAACATTATCAACATAATTTTATAGTTTGAAACTGTGCTCTTAATTTAACAATTCAAGCAAACAACCTTACAAAAACCAATTTGTAAGCTGACACAAATGCACATGTGACCATACCATAGATGCATCTATTAAATCATAATAGTAAACGGTCCACATGGCAGGTGAACGGGCCCATATTCACCTTTCTATATGTTCCAAATAATTTCAGGGGATACAATCCCAACCTTAGTTGATACAATTATCATTTTGTCATGAGAACAAGCAACAAAAGAGAATCTTGAAGAATCTTTTATTTCTTCAAACATATAGCCACGTGAATTCTCAACTTCTTTTGCATCACTCTAAACTGAAATGACCAACCGGTTATGCCAACTGATATTTATTCTAGTAAACTTTTAGTTTACTTTTGCATGTGATTCCTCCATCATGCTCATATTTTTATTCAACAAACAAGAGAAAGGTGGGTAACCTTTTATGTAAATATTCATAACCGGCTTTGATTGTAGTAATCTGAAGATATTTAATCTTTCAATAATTTATAGTCTCAATATAATAATTTTCAATTCCTCCGAAACTTAAAAGTTTCTTTTGAGACTTACTACAATCTCAATATTCTGAACAATTTCATTTCGGGTAGTAACAAATCAGCTCTTTCAGAACTCTCAATTAATTTTGTGTACTACCATAAATTTCACAACACCATTTTTATGGTGACCATCTCCTTCAAGGAGAAAATTATTATTATTGTCATGGTTAAAATTATTACATGCAAGACTTATTTCTTGACAATCAATGAAAAATTTGTGTTGCCACACAACAACATTTATTTTGATCATGGCCACAACCTTTATAGAAAATATTTATTTCTTTCTTTTGTCCTCCAATAGTTTATAATAAAACATACCACAATATTTGTGTAGTACTCAAAGTATATGACCAAAATGACCATTTATGTCAAAATATTTCCTTTCAATCTCTCAAACCTCCCGTAGAGGTGAGATGTGACATTCATCCAACAATACATGAACATGTTCTTATCCATACGAACACAAGTCACATTTTCTTCAAGAAATGGACTATAACTATTTGTACATTCTCCATAAGTTTTTATTAGAAACTCATTGTCATGCTTTGGCATTATCAAATTTATGTGGCTCACCTCAACATCACTTTAAGAGGTCAAATGTACCAATTGTACTACCACTTTGTATTCCTTTATTTTGATAGAGGATTTACAAAACTTTTCAAATTGGGTTGCACCAACAACAATGTGCCCAATAACTTTTCATGCCACTTTGATGGATAAAAACTAGCTTTAACAATTACCTTCACATTTGAAGGACCATCTTAAGAAACAATGTGTCCAATAACCTTTTATACCACTTTAATGGACAAAAACTAGCTTTAACAATTACCTTCACATTTGAAGGACCATCTTAAGAAACAATGTGTCCAATAACCTTTTATACCACTTTAATGGACAAAATTATCTTTACATTTGAAGGAACATCTTAAGAACCCATAATGTTCTTCCTTTTAATTACCACAATGATGACCATTAACATTTTACCACACTCATATTCATACATTCAACCACTTGTCATTTTTCAGACATATTATGCACTGCTACCACATTCACATAAGAGAATGAAGCAAATTAATTGGGCAAATTTTATGACTTTCAGTCAAAAGTATACAACTTTATGTTAGTCACCATCATATCATCACTATAGTGCATTAGGACTTAAACCCAATGTCTTACCCATATAAAAACGTCTTTGGTCATAAATCAATGAGACTTAAATCCAACTTCTTATTATCATGGTGCACCGAGACTTTAACTCTGTGTCTTACCCACTTGGTGCGGTGAAACTTGAATTCACCGTCTTACCCTCAATCAATGTCTTGATAAACCAAATACGTTACTAAAAAAATAATTATCGAAAACCATAAATATAATTTGAAGTTGGCTTAAAGTACAAGAAAAATAAACAAAATCAATTAATTAGAACAACATGTTAGAATCATATAAAAGCCCCAAATTAAAATAAATTAAAACATTTTAATAATCCCTCTCAACATTGTTATGAAGATTATCATAATTTACTAACCATTTTAAAATAACCACAAAACAATCTTTGTTAGTACAAATAATATATAGGATATGAAGTATACCATGCAACCGAAAAATTACTAGGAAAATCACCTACCATTGATTCTTGACGGAGAATGAGCAACTCGTGCTGATAATGTGTTATAAAACTAAAGCAAAATAAGACAAGAAATTAGAAGATGAAAGTAATAGAAATAGGGAGACAAGAGATGAGAGCTTTTCTTATTATTCCAAGTCTTCAAGTGTATACAATATGAACCCTTA